CCCAGCTGCCAACCACACAAGGGCCCTCTGCCCACGCAGGCAGAGCTGCAGCCCCTCCCAGACCCCTCGACCACCCTCCCCAGCCCCGCAGCAGCGGGACGGGACTGTCCCCACCATTCCCAACGCGTGGGGTCAGCCAGAGGAAACCCCTCCAGCAGCAACAGCCACCACGGACCCACGGCAGTTTTATTTAAAGCTTTAATAAAAGTTTAACAACGTTATTAAAAGTTTAATAAAACTCCAGCACCACCCTCTGGAGCTTGCAGCAGACTGGAACTAGCTTCCAGGGGAGTCTGCCACACAAGGGAGCAGCATTTCTCAGAGATTCTTGAATTCGAGGAGATGCAGCACTACTGCCAACCCTTCCAGGCTACTGATGCACCAAAACACTTTTTCTTTACAATAAAAAACAGTCCCCTCCAGACTATGTAAGGGCTACGGGTAAAAACAGCTCCAGAAACAATGGCTGAGCAGAAAACCAGCAGCACATGCATCTGCATTTCTCAAAGAGAGTTTCTTGCAAAGCTGCGTGCACCGCTGAAGTGCAACAGTTAAAATACTTCAGAAATGTTTTCTGCTTTTTTTCTTTTTTTAAGCAGCTGTTCCGTTGTGAAAAATCAAAACAGTCATTACAAGCCACCCTCCCAAAAGCTCTGTAAAGGAAGCAGCGAGAGAAGCCAGCCCCTAACATCATGCATTTATTTTTGTACCTGCACTTTTGTCAAGAAAATAAGCCAACAGGCACCTCATAACCGCCTGGTGGGAGATGACGAGGACGTTGCCTTGCCGCTCTAGCTCCATAATTACTGGCTCCAGGCGCTGGACCAAGTCCTGGTAGGACTGAAAAACAAAACAGGAATTTTTCAAGAGGTTTTGTAAACAGAGGCTTAAAGCAGAAGTAGCAATTAACACAGCTTCACGTTCAGGAAAATATCGGTTAAAGTATCAAAATGCAGAAGTTACGGATGACCCAGTAAGTACGGGGGGGGGGGGGGGGGGGGGAAGGCAAACAGCCGCAGAGGGTGAAATTTAACGTCAGCAACCCCCAGATTACAGGAGCATTCAGATTACTGGTAACTTTTAACATGTGCAGTAAGAAAAACAAATAAAATCGTAAATTATACACTTAAACAAGGCTGTGAAGTAAAACCAGAAATGACTCCACACCCCACCCACAGTCATTTTCTTTCCAAGGTGGTTTTTCATAGTGACAATTCAGGCCTCGGCCAAACAAGTGGGATGTAGAAAGCCCTCTGTGTCCGAGGGGAGCATCAAGGGACACAGCAAGTGGCTCAATTAATTGGCTGAAAAGCATCATGTGGCACACCACAATAAAGGAAATCCATAAACCTTTCCTCTAAGTGAGAGTTGGGGATCCTAATATTTTCATCTTCTCACACAAGTACCAGCAGAAAACTTTAAAATTCAGTCAAGTCCTTCAATTTTACCCACACGTATTTATTTCACGCGTACTGTATCTTATGGTTATTTCTTAAAGGTCTTCACCTCGCCTCCAGGATAGCGATAAAGGTATTTCTCTTGATCCCTCAAGGCAAACTCATCTGGATACTTGGCTTCAATTTCTGCATAGGTCATTTCTTCACAGACCCCCTGAGGGAAGAAGAACTTGCTACAACACGCTCCGTTTCAGAGGTACGACAATGCAACAGGAAGAAAAGAAAAAGCAAGTGGCAGAGACCAGTAACCCTTTTAAGTGACTAAAACTTTCAGTATCGTATCTGACCCAGCCATACCCTCAGCATTTGTGTCCCCCACGGCCAGGGCGGTGTGAAGAGGAGGGGGTTTTGGTTTCATTTCAAAACCCTCGTTTGCCAGGGATGAAAACGAGCGCTCATTTCCACAGCAATAACCCCGCAATTTCTTTGGCCTGAAAGAATTAGAGTGGGAGCAGGAACCTTTGTCCACCCAGGACCGTGTGACAAATGCCCGGGATGTTCAGTGCTATTTTCTTTCTCCACACTGGCTGGGTATGTTCACAGCAAGGTCCAGCAGCCCCAGGCACTGCCAGCCTTATGCCAAACTGTCCTCAACTTCATGGTGATGGCTGGGGTACGTTACACACGGACACGGCTCCAAACGAACAGGAAATAGTCAATTTTATCCTGATGAGTTTGGTTTTAAACAGCATTTTCCGTCTAGAAAAGCTCAAGGCTTCAATCAGCATTTCACTCACAGCATCGATCTCATTGAGAATCTTCCACTGCTCGTACGTGACCCCCAGGGACTCGGCCGTCTGGATCGTCCTTTTCAGCTGGCTCGTCCACACCTTCAGGTCAACGATTTCCTGCTCTTCGATGAACTTCTTCAGTGCCTGAGCAAACTGGAAAACAAAAGTCAGGGGAGGTCAGGAGGGAGCAGGAGCTTCTGCCGCCGTTAAAAGCATCATTTCAAGGGCTGTGGCTGTCACGGCAAGATCCAGCTGCGGGGCTGCCCCTCGCAGGAGTCGGATGCGGAGCCCGGCTCTGCCCCTGCTCACCCAACACTTTACAAACACAGCCACGCGGGTGCTGCCAAACACATACCTGCTTCCCGCGCGGTGACAGACCAGAATCCCCACCAATCTTGCCAACAAGATTATATTCACTCTCACCATGTCGGCAAAGGTAGATGGTACGCGGCTGGACATGAATGTTCATTAGGTAATAGACGATTTTACTCTGGATGTAATCTTGGACTCTGTTTACTAGGAACCGCTGTCCCACATTGATCACTTTAATGAAGGAAAGATCTCTGGAGTCAACATAAGATAAGAACACCCACACGACTGGTTTTAAAAACGAAGCACGTGCATCTGCGGGTGTAACCGAGCTACTTATCCTCTAGCAAAGGCATCGGCACTACCACTGGGTCGCTCCAGCAGACAGGAGAGACACTGAACTGCCGTGCTTAAACAAGGAGCTGCATGACGCTGCAGTGCACTAGAGAAAAATCCTTTCAAACCACTTGGGACCCGAGGATAACACCTTCACACAAGCAACCGCGCTTTGGGAGAGCAGAGGCTCCGGCAGACGCGTTGCAGCACCCTGAGCCAGAGAACAGCAGCGACAAAGCAAAGGAGCTCCTGTGTGCTAGGACAAAATGCACCCCGGGGCTCGGCTTACTTGTCATACGCGTCAGGATCGAGAGGCTGGTAAGTGACCTTGTAGCACTCTATCCTCTTCAGGAAATCATCCATCACGTTCTCCCTGTTTCTCTCCGGGTAGTCGGGACTGGAAACCTTCACCTCCTGATCAACACACAGCACCGCTTTGTGAGAGTCAAGCGAACTCAACAGGGAACAAAAGCAACGCTGAATAACATTTTCCTTCCCTTTTGAAACAAATACGCATTGTTTAACGCTGCCCTGTGGAAAAACCTGCTCCTGGAGAGGAAACAAAGGGCAGCTCTGAAGGCGCTGTAGTGCTTGGCCCTGTGACAGACACAGCTGGCTCGCTGTTAGCGGCCCTGCGAGCCACTCGCTGCCTGCCTTCCCTTGACGAGAAAGCACACTTCAAGGTCAAACATCTCTCAGCTCCATTGGATTTCCACGTTCTCACATAACTAACTGCACCTTTAGCTTTTATCAACCTGCAAACCTCGGCTGCTTATTTCCAAGGTGAAATGTAAGAGCGAGGCATTGGCAGACACTGCTGTAAGCTGTTGTAGCTGGTGACCTTGCACCGAGCACCCGAGCTCCCACAGTAGGCACTGACAGCTGAGCCTGGAAAATGTGGCACGCACCAGGATATTGGCAGCAATGACTTCTGGATCGTCACAGACGGACTCCACAAAAAACACCTACGGAGAAGGCAAGGAAGCATATTTCAGAGAGTCCAGAGCTCTACTCTGAATCCAAACTCAAGAGCTCCTGCCCCAGGGAGCAGTAATGTCCCTTGGTGCAGCAACTCCAACTACAAATTAAATACAGCAGCACTACCTTGAAAGCGTTTTCTTTAGCAAAATTTAAGATCAGGTCCCGTCTTTCTCGAGTTGTGTTGGTCGCATCAAACACCTGATGAACAAGTAGCAATGAGCAAGTTTATCTAAGGTGTTTAAACCAGCCCCAAATAATTTGGGACTACATCAGGTCCCCAAACGCCCTGGGCAGCTTTGAACTACCCAGATATAAGCCCATGTTTCGTCCAGAAAAGTCTTACAGCTATTTGCCCGCACTCCTCCAAGAGATAAGCCTTCACATCTTCTAGAGCCACTAAGGCACATCGCCTGCAGGAGAGAGACAGGTACTGTCAGAGCTGATGTTCAGCACTCAGAAGACAGCAAGGCTTCTGAACCACCAGGGAGAGATTTAAACAGCTTCTCTCTCCGCCCCTGGTGCACCCACCCCTGCATCTTTCAAGGGCCCCATAGGCTCTGCAGGGATCATAAAGCATCTGCCTGCACCCCGCTTCATCGCCGGGCGTTCGCAGCCCCTGCTCTCCCCGCCGGTGTGAACTCAACAACAAAGCTCCCACACACGGCCCCTCTGGCCGGATCCCAGCCCAGGGCTGCGCTACCTCCTCCCCTGGTTTCCCAGGCATAAAGTATTATTTTGTGCTCCTCAAACACAGAGCCTGCCAAGACCTGAGACTAACCAGCCCACCACGGATGGGTCCAGCCCCCTGACCCTGACTCACTTGCGGATTTCCATGGCTTCTTTGTTATCATGCCTGAAGAAGTCATAGGACTTGTAGGACTTCACCGCTTCCCGGCGATACACTCCTAAATTAAACACTTCACACAGGAAAGGCGAGCGCGTGAGACTGACGGCATCCCGTGGACAGATCTCGCCGCGCTTTCGGCAAAGGGCAGAGCCCTCCCCGCACCGGGGCGAGCCGGCGGCCCCCGCACGCACCTTTGGTGGGCACCCCGATCCAATTGAGGTAGCGGGTGAGCTTCTTGGACACGTAGGTCTTGCCGCGGGCGGGGAGACCGATCATCACGATCAGCGTCGGGGAGTTGGTCATGTAGGAAGCCCATGCTAAAAAAAAAATCCCCAAAAAACCACCCCCAAAACCCCAGGAGCATCAGCAGCACCGCCGAGCAGCTGGGCGGGAGCAAAAAGCAAACCCCAACCCAAAGCCATCCCTCACGCAGGGCTGATCGCTGCCGTGCATCTCCTAACGGGCTGGCTCGTGGCTAATTAACCGCGCAGCTCATTAACTGCTGGGAGCAGCGAAGGGTCTGCGGTCTCCCGGGTGCCGGCTAACGAGGCGGATTAGCAACGGCGCGTCCGCTGTGCCGAAGGAGACTCAGACACGCGTTTTCGCGTGAAAAATATTGGCCCACGGGGCAGGAGCTGCCAAGGACACAAGAAAGGTGCTTTTAACAAAACGCTCACG